ATATATACATATATTATCTCAAGGACATTTTTTAAAAAGTAATGCTATTTTCATTGCCTCACTTCAGAGATTAAAAATGCTGTTGAGGTTAAAAGTTTTATAGTTCCTTTATCATAATTAGTATCTTCCTCCTTAGGACTCCAAGAGGGCCTTTATAATAATGGGCTTTGGCCTTTCACTTCAACCCCCACAAGACAGATTACTGGAGATAACCCTCTGAAATTCCTTGCACTTTAACACCATAAAGGCCTAAGATCTGTCTGTTTTGAACAAGACTCAGACAGAGGGATAAGGTTAAGGAAGGGGAAAGTTTCAATTTGTAGGAGTTACCAGACATAAATATGATAAGTAGCTTAAATGTCCTTTCCTTACTCAAAGACCATGGGTCAGGAGGATTTAAGATAAAAGAAAAAAAGATTATAATGAAAAACCAAGCTACACAAAAACCTAAGGAATAGTTGGCAGCATTATTTCTTTGTGTTTAAAAAGATAATCATTTTTCATTGGAATCAAATAATTTGACAATTATTTATTTCTTTTTCCCATTACTCTTATATTCCACCTTCTGTAGTGGAAAATGGAATTTAAGGATGTTTATATATAGAATATTATTTTGTGTCCTTTTTTGATGAACTCAATAAAATGACCCTCAAATCCAAAATCCAGGAAATATATTCCCTGCCTGATGGAAAGTAAAAAAAAAAAAGAAAGAAAAAAACCACAAGCTCCTCTACCTTCCTTAGAAAATAATTATGAGTTATGAATTTCATAGATCTGAGGTCATATAATATTAGCAGTAAATACGAATAAGCAGAAATGCAAAACCTAATCCATACTACAAACACCTCAGAACTAATATTAAGACTTCAACTGGCTTTTGCAATTTAGGTTCCCACACTGTGTCCAAGAATTACAGAAAACACAAGACTCTATAAGTTAGAGTTAGGCTGGTTATAGAAAGTATGAACTGTTTAGACCATTTTTCTGATAAATTAAGTTATAAGTCTTCATCTGGTGAGTATCATTGCCAAGTTTCAAGTTTACTACTTCATTTTCCAAAGAGTCTAAGAATTCAATTAAACATCCTACGTGCACGCCAATACTCTGTGCAACTGGATGAAGGAGGAGGAAAAGAGAGAGGCTTCATTATGCCACATGTTCTATATACAGTATACACATAGACCATAGATAGTTTACAGTCTCACCATGAGAAAGTCAAAACCCTCAGCGAGCCTTCATTTTCTATTATATGTACATTTTACAAGCTACAGATAATTTCCTTCTATGCTGCTTTTTTAAAAAAAGACTGAAAATACATTAGACAGATTCAAATGCAGTTTAACTTAAAGGCTTCATCAGACCATATGTGCAGACACTTGAGATGATGACAGAGTTAAGCTTCCTAGGGTCCTAGAGTCAAAGAAACTCTGCTGACCCCCACTGCTAAGCAGGTGCACTCCTTCCACAGGGGGTAACATCTGTCGATCAGTCATGGTCCCACTCGGTGAGGACCCCAAGAAACTTCCTTGGGAAGAAACAATTTTCTCAGGACTGGCAGCCAGTTTGGGGGATGTGGAGAAGTTATATCCATACAAGGCACAGGGGCTGTGTAACCTGAAAGTGTTATAGGAACCCTGGTGGGTCTGGTTAGTAGCAAAGGCATTGCTGGAGGGTGAAGGCATGATGTACTGAAGTTGGGGGGACATTCCCGAGATCTGCATGGACAGGCTGGTCTGTGGGCAGCTGAAGGTATCCCCATCAGTGCTGGCCATGGACATGTTCACGGAGGTGCTGCTGCTCACACCAACATAGGAGGGAGTCCTGGGTGAGGCGAAGGTCTCACTGGTCTGGTTGGTGAGCCTGTTGTAGGTCTCAGCCAAGGATGTGCTGTACCGGTTGAGGGTGAGGCCTGAGCGGGCACAGGCAGAATAGTCAGCTGGGGCCAGGCTACACAGCTGGCTGGTGTTGGGCCCCAGATGGAAGGCAGGAGAGGAACAAGAGGAGCCAGACAAAAGGTGAGGGTGGGTGGCAGGAATACCATTCCCAGTACCTTGGAGTAAGGTAGAAGAACTTGCATTGCCTATAAAAGAAGTTGAAATATAAAGAATGACTCCACACCCATCTTCTCCTTTTAATTTTGTAAATACATGGTAGACATGACTTGTAACCAGGAGTACCAGAGTGATACAAGGCTGAAAAGGAGATGGTCTCAACTCTCTAGGAATTTATAATTTCACTGCATTCAGACTGAAAAATTTTAAGCACAGATCTCCATATTTTAAGGAAAATTATCTTCCTAGGGAATTAAGTATAATCAAGACCTCTTTCCCATCCATATTTTAGCTTTTCTTTCAGTAAAGCTTACTCTGAATCAAATGTTTTATCAAAAAAAAAAAGTCAAAGGAAAAACTGAATTGGCTGGTGGCACGCCCTGCCTCAAACTTATCTGTGGCTTCTAACAGAAAGCATGTGTACCAACGACTATGGTATCACAGCTCTCAACCACGTAGTAGTATAATAGTCTAGCTCCTCAAAAATGCCACTTCCAACCAGAAAACAGGTTGATGAATCACATGTGAACACAAAAAGAGAGGTCTACCAGACCTATGAAACTTAGAGTGACTCATCCTGAATCTAAAAGATAACAGTGATGCTGGCTGACTCCCCTTGTCTGGATTTCCTGGCAGATTTATGTTTGTAAACATAACAGAACTTAAGGGGAGAAGAGAATTCCAAAGGACAGATAGCTTTAAAAACCTTTATACAGCATCTCAAAATAATCTAAAAGTCCAGTAGAACTAATGATACAAATCTAAAACCCAATATGTGAACATCTCATTGGAAGCCGGCAGGATCCTGCTATAAAGCCTGACTGTAGGAGGAAGCACAGAGTCCTACTCAGTGAGTCTATCCTTTTCTGAGAAACACAAGCCTGGACTTTTGGGAAATATTCAGAGAAGAGCCACAGAGGTCTGCCAAAGTGTGCCAGATTTCATTATACACCCAACAGGAGAACACTGTCTGTAGGCAATTTTGCTGAAGGAAGGGAAGAAGCGAGCAAGAAAGGGTGGACTAGGACCATGGTTTCTTATGAAGTGTTTCTGGCCTCAGACACCACCATTCACCTCTAATTTTAATGAGATTTAGTGGTGAGGTAAAGTTCATGAACTAAACAGCCTAAAACATCTAAGATTTAACCTATGACTACAACAACAATTTTTCATGACCAATTCTCATTCCATAAGGAAAAGAGATGGATGCAAAAGCAGGAAGATGATGGTGAGGAGGTTACCTTTCTGGGGATAAGTAATGATTTCTCATGTTTCGGTGCCTGAGTTTCTAGCCAGAAACTGACCAACTCAGGAGAGTTATGAGTTACCTTGCTTGGGAATTCCAGGGATATCTTCAAAGGTGAGAGTTCGCAGTGAAGGTCGCCAGAATGCATATGACTCCACCAAGGCTTCTAAACCCATTCTAAATGGAAGGATAAGGGTGGGGTGGACAGAAGAAGTCTAGTTAGGAGCAATTGGAGCTTTCACCACAAATAAGCATCTCAGACAACAACACTGGTATCAACAGACATCCTCAACCGTGGCACCTTGGGAGCTTGCTACAGACAGAAAGAAATGTTTCAGAGGGTGAAGCATGAAGAAGCCACATAAGATGCTTGTTCACATTTTTAAAAACTGAAGCCAACTTGAGTGTTGAGAAGCTCTCCCTTTGGGCTAAGTAGTTAAGGTGATGAATGTCCATCTTGGCTGCTATGAGTTCAAGGTTCTGCTGTGGTCTGGAATAAATCTGTAAAACCTCTCCTATAAGGCATTTCTTATAATGAGTGGTGACTCATTGCCTCAGGAGCCATCTCAGAGGAGCAATAGTCCAAAGAAAACCAACTTCCGCTTAGAGAGCACAATATTCACCACCAGCCAGGCTGGCCTGTCCTTCAAGCAACAAGAGGGCCAGGATGGGGCAACACTACCTCCCGCCCTTACCTTCTGGCAGTGAATGGCACAGCAGGACAGAGATCTCATATGGCTATCATGTATATGGAATATTAACATCAAAAATTATTTTAAAGCCTCAAAATATATTCTTAAAGAATGTACACTTACAAGTATGAGGTAAATTGATTATTTACATGGCATGCATATTTTAAAACAAAAGCAGCTACTCTAAATGCATCTATAATCTCCTACTATGACAAATGGTTGAGGCTCCCCCTTCTTATGTATCAGATGACTAAATCTTCTAGGTTTTTGGATTAAGGCCTTTCAATTAGCCATTTTCTAGGAAGCCTGAGACTTTCACCACTCATTCCTCAACCACCTCAGTCCTAAGATAAGATTGAGCTTTTCACTAAATCTACAGCTCTAATGTAGGAACTGGTCGCTTCCTGGGAGTATCAAATACTAATTCAGATATCTCTGTGACTGTCAGATGCTCTAGTAGTTTTAACTCAGTTTCTACATCCTGTGGATTCCCTTTACCTCCAAATCACGAATTACAAAGTAAGAAAAGGGGAAACCATTCCAAAAAGACACATCACCTATATGATAGTGAAAGTTCTCCAAAGAGCAGAAGTAATTTGTGCAAATAAGACCATTTCATATTACTGTCCTTTTGTGCCAAGGTATTACATGGAGAATCTGAACATTAGTGTGTGCAGGTCACAGTCTCCATTAATTCAGTAATTTCTGTCCTTGGGGACATCTTAGCCATAGAAGAAGGAGCTATGTATGTGTGGGTGTGTAGCATGTACGCAAGCACATCCTCTCATGAATTCATACAGGGCCCTGATGCATCTCTTCAGTTGTACGCTTGGAGGAGTTCTGTTCAAAGAGCCATTTCCAACCTCACACAGATGCTATCACAGGGCTGCCAAAGAGAGAGGAGGACACAGAAGGGAACTGCACCTGCTTTACCTGGATTACCTGCAGAGAACAGCAGCTGGCTTACAACATAATCAATGTACTACAGAAACAATTATTTAGTGGTGAGGACCCTAGATTGGGATTACAAGAACTGAGTTGTGACTGCAAGTCACTAAAATAATTGTGTGGCTCTAAGCCAATTTCTTAACCCCTCTGGATTCCAGTTTCCTATAAAGTTATCACTAGACTAAGAAAACTCTGAAATCCCTTTTAGCTCAAAATTTAAGTGACTATTTTTCCAAATCAGACATCAAAATCTGTGGCAAAACTATACCTCAAATCCAAGATTATGCCACATGGTTATATTTTCTATACTACTAAAGTACTGATTTCTGGGCAGTTTGGCAGTCTTGAAGCCCCATGGTGTCTATGTGTTGTATAAAATACTGGACTAATGAATTCTAGGTGTTATTTAGATGATCACTCTATATTTAGTTTATATCCATAGTAAATGTGTCTTTTTCTAGAAATAAGATTATTTTAAATGCAAAAGAGGGCCGGGGATTTAGCTCAGCAGTTCGGTGACCTGCCTTGTAAGCGCAAGGACCTGAGTTCAATCCCCGGTATAAAAAAATAAATAAATAAATAAATAAATGCAAAAGAATGTTAGAATATAGCTTTTTTTAAAATCCATTTTTATCTTTATTTTTTAAACTGCTTTTTATTACCACAGATGGATTCTGATAATGGTAGATTTAAATAGTAAAGAAACCAAAGTAGTTATGGAGCAGTCTTGAAGGAAGTTTACTAAGATAATTAACAAGCATCCAGTGGACTTAGAAATGTACTAACTAAATCAGTGTGCATTGCTGTATTGTTTTGCTTTAGGAATATAAACTTTATTATGCTTTAAATCCATAAACCAAATACTTGAGAAGTTATTGAATATTGTAAATATATAACCTTAAGCTTTAAAGAGATGATCTAAGTTGACATATCTACAAGCAATCTGATTTGGAACTACTGATATTTTTCCTGAGGCTGCTGTTTCACACTGCAAGTTCCAGAAAGGATTTCAGATATTTTACAGGGAACAGTTATAAAATATTTATTAGCTGAATCTGGACTTTTGTTAAAAAGCCTTCATTTTCTCCAGTAATGGAGACTTTTCTCATCTAGTTAAAGAAAAGATGAAAGGCACCTCCTGCAGGAGAGTAGCCAAGGCGATAATTTATACAAGGTGCCTTTGAACAACTTCCACGTTTTATCACCACCCTAATTTATGCTATCAAATGGCCAAGTTTATTTAGTAAAATGGTTATGTTTTTCCTGAGGTATTTAAAGAGAAGAAATTTTTGTACCTTCCTGAGTAAAAAATTTTATAGGGTCAAACCTAAGGCCTAACTGAAGAATGAAACTATTCTCAGCACATAAATTCGCTCTCACATAACAAATGTCTTGCAGGAGAGCTTTTAAGGGCTGAAGCTACTGATTTCTATAAAATAGGCTATGGAGCCATAAATAGCCAGGAAAGGATAATTTTTAATTAAAGAAAATTGTTTTATAAAGTTTAAACAATTACATGTCCATGTTTATTTCTTGTCTTGTTCAATTTGTTTATTTTATATATGAGGAAAAAGTAAAAACTATTTTGCTTTTAAAAAAAAGAAAGAGGGTGATAAAAGAATATTTTGAACTTTTCCTTCATGGGCTGTTAATGTGTGAAAAATTATTGTGCTCCTCTTTGTTCCCCAAACCACTACATCCTCCACCAAGATAAATAATAAATAAGTTAGAAATGTTTATAACTGACCAGTTCTCTTTTCTTCATATTTGTGAACTTAACATTTACCGGTCAAAATGGTAAGATCAAAATTTTTTATCAAGGGATATTGACTTATAGGTAATAAGAGCAAAGTGGAAGATAAATAAGACATAGGGAGATTTTTTTAAAAAAAATGGATTGGGGAGCAAAAGATGGAGGAAGAGAAGGGATGAGAGGGGTAGGGGATTGAAAAAAAAAGAAACAGGAGAATTAAAATGTATTATGTACATGTACTAATTCCCCACAATACAGGTAATCATTATGTACTGCAAATGTGTACTATTTAAAGAAAATATATTTAGCACTGCAGGGGTATCAGTGCTAAGCAAGAAATAGCTTCATGAGAAAAAAGTTAAAACATTATCTTACAAGCAAAGCGACATTATACTTCATTTATAATAAGTTATTATTTAATAATTAGCTCAAAATAAATATTTTAAAATGTTAAAACATAATTCATTGTTTTCTCTATGTCCATTAAAAACATTTAATGCTTTAGGAGGGTCAGCAAATAAATAATAACAAGTACAATTATATGTCACACCTACGCATCCTGAAACAGACAAAGGGAAGAAAAATACCTATCAAATCTAGCATTTTGACTTTACTATACCACATAGACTTACTAGTTTCTTTTACTAATGCTATTAATTTTTTTTCTGGCCATATTTAAATAACCAAATGTCCTTTCATTATGCTGTCATATTTAGACTTCTTCCTGTAAACCTGTCATGTACATCTGTCACCTCACTTTCAGAATATTCATTCATTGTTGCTGTCTATATACTTTAAGAATGTTTCTTAAATTTATTGCTTTAAAAATGAACTGACAAGGTAGAATCAGTGAGACCTCCAGTGATGTCTTTGTTTGAGTAATGCCTTAGACATAGTTCCTGGTGTAAACTCAAAGTCTGAGTTTGAACTCCTAGAGTACCTGTATTAACAAATTATTTTTCTTCTTTAAAAGAAATAAACTGAAACCAATTCAAGAGAATGGATAAATACTATTCTGATACAATCAAAGTCACAAGAGATTCTATCAAAGCATTTGTCAAGGTAGAAAAAGAATCACCAGAAAAGTTTCCTTCAGTCACCTCACTAAGTGATGATCTAAGGTTATTGAACTATGGTTCGAATTGCATTCAATTTTCAGTAAATTGAAAAGTCTGGTAAATTGAAAAATTCAGAAATCTCAAAATCAAGTTAGCCAGTAACTATTGTAACATGACAACAGCCAAGAAAATACATAAAATAATTTCAATGCAGGAGACAACTGTGGGTGTTAGGAATATTCACAAATCTTCCTGCAGAGTGCAGAGTTCCAGAAGGAAGTCTTTTCTATCATTCAGTCTTGTTGATCCATCTGCGCGAAGTCTATTCTCTGTTGTATTTTAATTACATTTTAGTCCTTACACATTTAAACACGGCTTGGTGTTTAATGATATCTCACATGTGAAGAAGACATCAGGCTTTTGTGAGCAATTGAGTACATTCTGAGCAAAGATTTCTGTCACCAACCTTGCTCAATCTATCAGCTGAAAGAACTAAAAATCTAGACTATTAACTGTTTTCTCTCTAAAATTTCAAATGAAATTGCCTCTTAAAAAATGGGGATTTTTAACTTCTTGCAGGTACTCATGATTAACACCAAATTTTCAAGGAGTATTACAATATTTGAGAAATAAAGTAATCAATTTTTAAGTACTTCTTCTTAAAAAAATTGAAGTTAAAGCCTTACCCAGAAAAGGCTTTGGAGAATATTAGTCTATTATTACATTCTATTACTCACAGTTATTTTAGAAACTGTTTTACTAAACTGTATTGGAATAGAATCATATCAATCAATATAAAATCTCTTGGCATACATACTAGGTGATCTGCTTTTTAATAAAAGTAATAAAGTGGAATTCATTATTGTAGCTCTCCCACTTAGTACAAACACTGTAAAACACAACACAGAAAAAATAAACAAGTGTGTGGCTGTCATCAGAGCCAAGACAAATTTGGAAACTAAAGAACATTAGCTCTTTTGGCAACAGGAAGTAGTTTCATATTCCAGTTGGAAATCTGAATTAACAAGAGACTCCAGCAGACTCTCCAGAAAGAATCAATAGACAGTTGTATCATCCCTAAGGAAACTGTAAGCAGAGGCAAGAGAGCATTGACTTGAATACCGAGGCCCCTGAACATGTCAGGGCTTCTTCAAGGCCACTTTAGAAACAGCTCACAATATGCACTCTGAGCACGTCCATCTTCATTCACCCCAACAGCACATGTAAGAAGTTCACCTTGGAGCGGGCCACAATGTTGCACTCCAAAACTAACTTATATCCAAGGAACAAAAGTATTAACCAATTTAAAGTCTCTTCAGAAATTATTTCCATTCAATGTTAGTAAATATAAGTATTTAGTTGGCGAGGGAAATTCACAAAAAGTTCTCAAATACATTTATCACCACTAGGTTTTTCACTAAGACTTACCTGTTTCGTCCAGAGTCTCTAAAGCCTTTGGCAAATGGATTCCTGTCTATCTTAAGGCGTGTAATCTGCAGAGTAGGAAAAAAATTAATGTCTAATATAAAGATCAAATAAGACCACAGGGCTACAAATTATTCAAAATTTAACAGACAAAGACATTGCATTTTCCTCATCGTTCCCCAAATATTTTAATATCCTTGCTGCTAAAAGACAATTTCAAAAGCCATCCAGAATCTTCATCTGCTGTAAAAAGATACATACCTAAAAAGGGTGGGGGGATACATACCTACCTTTTTCTTCCCAATTCTAGAAGAGAACCCAGCCAGGGGTGCTCTACCATTGAACTACATCTCCAGTCCCCTGCCTCTTTTTTGGTACCACAGATCAAACTCAGGTCCTTGTGCTTGCAAGACAGGTGGCGGAACCACTAAGCTAAATCCCTGGCCCTCTTTTTTTATTTTTTTACTTTGGGACAAGATTGCCTAGGCAAGAGTCAAACTCGTAAACCTCTTACCTCCTTGAGTGCTGAGATTTCCTTGAGTGCTGAGATTAGAGGTGTGGAAAACTGTGCTCAAATCTCCATAATACACAAAAGTTTGTTTGCTTTTAATACTCCTAAAGTATTAAAGAAGGAAAATCTAAATTATCTGTCAATATCTGTCCTATGCTTGACAATCCTCTTGGAAATGAAGTCACTCCCTTTAACTTTGCTAATGTGGTTTAATCCTGTTCATCTTGCAATAGAGGTGATGGGGACAAATAACATCCAACGACTTCTGATTATTAGTGTATTTCTACACTGAAATTTTAAGCTCTTACACAATGTTCTCTTCTTCAAAATTGGGTAATATTGACACTCCTTTAACTTTCTGCCTTTGTATGTTTCTGTCTCTCTTTTAATCTTGATGGCTCTCATCTGAAAGTTTTATTCTTTCATCTTTTATCTGTGGAGTCCTAACTTTGTCACAGCACCACAGTATCTAACCAGAAGTAACCACTTTTTGAAGGTTCTAATGCAATTAAACCTTATACATATAGTAGAACAAATGGCATTTTTACTTTTAACTGGCGTTCAAATTTGTTGACTTATTACCAGTGTCTTGCCCACTAAGACCCCAACTTGGGTTCAGAGTGGAATTTACAAATGTCTTAATCATCTCCAATTAAGCATTATCCTGAACTTGACACTAATAAATAACATCTCATCTGTTTCTTACCTGATCTCTACTATGCTCCGAGGAATTTACAGTTTGTTTTCTCATAGGTACACTATGCTTTGCTTTCTAAATTTCTCGGCTTAATAAAATCACAAAGTTAATAAGCATTTCTAATAGCACCATCTTGACTAAGGATGAAATGCATTGGCTGTCAATAAGGCAAAGAAAGCCTTTGTAGTTCCCCCTGTTCTGCCTGTGCACACTTTCATCCACCCTCCAGACAGTGGTGCAACACTTAGGACGCATATGTTCCATATGACATTGTCTTGGTATGTGGATAAAACTACATTTTAAAGGCTATAATGAAAGGGCTTGATAACTACTTCTCTATGTCTGCCATTTTATCATTGAAGGGAAGTTTTTGTCCTTATAGATTATAACTCAGTTCTCTGTTCCTTTCAGTAATGTTTAACACTAAATAAAGATGCAAAATCTTATATTTAAGAGTATAGATTTATATAATGGTGCCCGTCTAAATAGAAATGCATCACAATTACTATTATCACTATTTTTATTACTAACACTATATTTATTAACTGCAGACTATACTGTACTGTTTTAAGTGCACTACTTATTTAATTATCACAGAAGCTTATGTGTACATATTACTCCAAATTTACATTTTTCCATTAACATAAGGCTTTAAAAATAACTTTCCTAAGATAATATGGTTACTATGCAGTAGAAATGGCTTAGAATCCTAGGCAACAGAGCCCAAATTTTTAGCAACTGGATGAATCTGCTCATCGGTTTTCCATAAATTCTCAAAAATGATTGCTGGGAAATTAAAAAGTGAATTTGTTTCATTTTATCATTATCAATTTCCCTTCTAATTTTTCTACTCTCTTAATTCAATCATCAATGTTTATTAAATGGATGCTAGCCCCAATATGTGCCAGGAGCCCATGGCGTTAGACTTAATACTTCACAAGGGGTAGAAGAAAATACATATAGAGCACAGCTAATTTGTGTGTGTGAGAGAAACAGAGAGACAATGAATCTGGGTGCTAAAATTATACTAAGACCTCTGCTATTTTCACCTTATACACTAATTTTCTCTCAGAAAAATTTCATTTTCTAGTATTTTAAGAATATCATCCTAATTATCTGTAGATCTTCCAAAGGTTACAGCCCCTGACAATTTGATAGAGTGGCAGCACGAGTGTAGAACAGGCTGGCTTCCACTGTGGAGCTGAGATCTCCACCCGATGACAGCACTGGGCCTGTCAGTCCAAAAGTAAAGCATACAGAGAAGTCTACGTCTTCTAAAAAGCTTTAACATAGCAGACAGCACAGCTGAGAAAGTAAAAAGCCTTAAAATTTTAACTGAGATGTAAACAGAAATGGGTGCCTAAAATAATTCATCTGAAGGCCGGGGATTTAGCTCCGTGGTTCTGCTGCCTGCCTCCCAAGAGCAAGGACCCGAGTTCAATCCCCAGTGCCAAAAAAAAAAAAAAAAGTATCACGTACCATATGAGCCTATTAACCTACACTACATAGCTATTTCTTCTGAAAATTGGCTAAAATTGCATTCTGTTCTGTATTTATTCAACTCCTGTACACAAAGACTCAAACAAATACATACGTTTCTTCACATAGAAAAATTAACCTCTCAGATTATTTACAACTTCATGAAATAATTATTTCACAATTGCTAGTGTCTCAGACTATGAAGTACACAGCACTCTGTATCACAATTAAAGCATGGCTTGAAGCAAAAAAGTCCTTTTTGGAACACAAAAGTGTTTGTACAGTAAAAATGATTCTGAAATAGTTTAATGGGCTAGTTTTAAAATCCATCCCAAGCTCTATGATACAACTCCCTTTTTATATTTTACATGTCTGTCTCCTCTTGACTGAAGAGATCCTTATTAGAGTAGCTTTACATGGAGAATCATGGTTAAAGAATTGTTATTTTATGCATTCACAAACACCCATGCACATGCTGAATGTCGTACATGGCAAATGCTTTATAATTCATGGCATGTTGATATAGCCATGAAGAATAGCTAGCTTTTATTTACCCCTAAAGTCTTTTAAAAATGAACAGAAAACAATACCTGCTGATTCTGATAGGCAGTAACAGTTGTGAAGACAGTTTCTGGAAAGGAGAAAGCTTTCACTCCCTCTCCAGATGGGACAGGCTTGATGGGAGAAAGGTCATCTCCACAGTCTTTACGGATGACATGCACTCGTGGCTGGTATTTGTGCATGGAATGAAGAATAATCTGTTTTGAGGAAAGAAATCCACATTTAATCATGAACGTCTGCCTGATCTTGGTACTATGACTAAATATATAATATGTAAAATAAATTCCTGCTGCTGGGAATTAACATTTCCAGGGATACATAGGCACCAATTTAATAAAATATATTAAAATTAGACAGAGGGGGTAGGAAGTTATTTGTAAAATTTATAGAAAAACATAAAATTAAATTTTTTACTCAAGTGAAACTCTGGGTGTAACCACGGGAGCCCAACATCAAACTTTTCTACTGTTTAAAATATAATAGGTCAGGGATTTAGCTCAGTGGTTCTGCCGCCTGCCTTGCAAGCAAAAGGACCCGAGTTCAATCCCCAGTACAAAAAACAAAAAATAAAATATAAGAATAAATTCATCTGCATTTTATTTATAATGAACCAGATGAAACCAGAGTCCAAACTAGTAAAATTAAAAGAGATTAAAATTGCTGTTTAAATTATATAAAATCTACTCTCTAAATATAAGTGTTTGCACTCAAGATTCTTTTTAAGTGGAAATTATTTCTTTATCACCTACTACATATGTCTGCTGAGGAGCAAAGGGAATTAATCTTAAGGATGCCTAGGGTTAGGTTTGTATGTGGCTCACAAAGTCTCCTGATTGCCAGGAGAGCCAAGCGTTGGTGCCTCCATCACAAGGCTTCTTAAAAACTCTGACTGCAGAGAATGGAACACTGGCCTTCCCAGACTCTGCTGAGTGCTCTGTAATGTGGCTAACCACCTTCTACCCAATTATTTCACTGAGAATTTATCTCGAGAAAGTATTCCAAATTCAGAAAAGCTTTCATAGCAAAGATGTACATAGAACCATAATAATGGAAGAACTAACTATAAACCACCTAAATGTATGCTATGAGTAGATTAATTCAGTAAATGAAAATACAAACCATGGACTCCAGTATTATTCAGTTGTTACTAACAATCTTTAGGAAAGTTTTAATCTTCAAGTGACAAAATAGGACCCAAATTGTTTTTGCCACAACTACATTAAAACTGAGTATAAGGGGTTGGGGATTTAGCTCAGTGGTGCCACCAACCTACTCATAAGTGCAAGAACCGAAGTTCAATCCCCAGTACCCCCCCAAAAGAGTAAAAGGGACCCATACAAAGCTATGAACAGTGTGCTCTCTTGTGGATGATGAAACTATGGAAGAACTGTTTCTCCTTCTTTATATATTTTATGACCTTAAGGATGAGCGTCATCCAGTGTGATTTTCTATTGGCTCTTGAATTCTATATTCAGGCATTAACAAATTATTTTAGTCAAAAAATTCCTATCTTTCCTGAGCTGTAAAATTTGAATTCAAGAATTTGGAGGAAAAATGTTTAAACAGAAGTCATGGGAAAACACAGTGGGTGTCCTGACTCACATCTTTCATGATGTGGGCCGTTTAATAAGCCAAATTCAGAGTCTTTGCTCAGCTCAAACACATATAGTCTTGTACTCGGAGAGTGAACTCATTTCCACAAAAGGATGCCTTATCTTCTGGTAGTAGCTGATGAGGCAGTCAGGGTGTTTTATTTTGTTTAACATAAAGTTTCTATCAGTGGAAGAAATGCCTGGAGGGCAGATCTAATCATTTTTCTGTGATATCGCTGACCATACAAGCTTCTTGGGAGAAGCATGAGAATGAGAAAAAGGCAGAGGGGACAACAGACTTCACCATCACCTCTGGACACATGCGTGAATCTGAAACCTCAGGAAACTGTTTTTCCAGGTGTAAGAGAAGGGCAGAATTTCAATGATCCATTAGTGGCTCATGAAATCATTTCAAAGGGTTGTAACCAGACATTTTAAAAATAAATAAAATTATTAAAATAAACTAGAAAATAGAGTGAGCTGCTTGGAGCAAGGATGATAGGTACTGTTTTGCAAACATTTTGTTACCTGTGTGTACATTATACATAAAGAGTGTTGCTTACTACAAGTCAGGTAAAAAATTTGAAAAACAGAACAACATTTAATTCTAATGATTCTATCAATACATCCTCAAAAGATTTTCACTAAATATGGATTTTTTCATTTCCTCAGCATATAATTCCTAATTGATTATGTGTACAAATCTTCATTTAAAAAGATATAATGGAAATCTTAGTTTATATCCTTAGAAGCCCCAATATCTCAACAGAGTTTAAAGGTATCTTCCACTTTGTATTTTTTATAGAACTATATTGAGGGAGGGGATTAGGAAAGAGGGAAACTGGGGTCTGTTCTCTGCCCTCCATTTAGGGGTGTTCTCCTTCCCTGTTTGATAGGCGGTGCTCTGTATAACATTTCTAAATGTGACTTACATTAGCGCCCTAACTTAAATGTGAAGCAGCTAAGGTCTATAAAATGAGACTTCTGAATCTTTACTACTGGACTTGGAAGCCAGCTGATTTGGCGCACAACTCATTTTCTGTACACCATGTTTATGTGTATTCATTATAAATTTATGTTGTATAGGTAGGGATCATCATTGGGCTAGGCCCAACAAAATAAACATAAGATGGTTGCCAGCCTGATGAAGCAAATTAATCAATTAAAAAGCCCCAAATGATGTCTCAGTCACTAGCTGAAAGTTTATGATGTAAATTATCTGGTCGCTTTCCAGAATTATTTATTATTATAATGATAACTTTCTACCTTACTATTCTTGTAAATGTGAACATAAAACAGCCAAAGACCAATGTTATGTTATATGTTAATTTAAACTTTTACCTCTCCTTCATTTCCTAATTAATCTCTCTCTTTAACAAATTGATACACTTGATATTTTGGAGAGTAGGAGAATTTGAGGGAAAACCATTCCTCTCTTTTCCAAGCTAAAAAACCAAGATGCTAGTGGTAAGAAAACAGAATTTATAAACTCCCAGGGAAAATTAGCATAATTTTCAGAAACAAATCCCAGAGCATAAGAACAATTAAAGAAAAGCTACTTACATCAAACAAGCAAAAGTAAGTACATACCAATTTCAAAAGACCAGAATGGACAGACTAAGAATGAAAAAAAACACAAATTTATTTGGGTTTTCTATCAGTCAATGAAGAAAAGGTTCTTGTTTTGTGATAAACCTGTTCTCTCAAGATTTCTCCATGTAGTTATACACATTTTGATTTTAATTTTTTATATTCTTCCACAGTCAAAAAAAAGTGACTTTAGTTGGGATATTTTGGAATAGGGTAGAGAAATGACTGGTGTAAGCCTATGTTTGCATGTTAAGGACCAAATGCCAATAGTAATCTGAAGATTTTTCAAAACAAATAATATATGTTTAACACTGACAATAGGAATTTAGTGTATTCCTGGAATTTTTATTTTTATTTATTTATTTTTTTTGTACTGGGGATTGAACTCGGGTCCTTGTGTCTGCAAGGCAGGTGCTGGAACCACTGAGCTAAATTCCCGGCCCTCCATGGAAACTTTTAAAGCATGCCAAACAAAAGCCAGTTGTTCTTTGTAAGATAGCACAATTTGTTTTTTTGTTTTTTGTTTTTTGTTTTTTTTTTTTTTGGTATGGGGATCAAACTCAGGACCTTGCAGTTGCCAGGCAGGAGTGGTGCCACTGAGCTACAACCCCAGTCCCACAATTTTATTTTTAAAGAACTACCATGATGAGTAGTCAATATTTTGCTTATTTACTAGAACAAGTCTAACCAGGAAAACCACTGACCTCATATAAATGAGCACCACAATAATAATATTCATCCCCAAAGCTCAAATAATTATCTGATGTGCCTTTTCTATGCTTTCCATCTCTATTGAGACAGAGTTTTTAATGACATTACCCACTAGCACAGTCACACAGACCTATGTCCATAATCACTGAGTACTTTCCCATGTAGAGTCTAATACATGTGTTTCTACTTTAAAGACTAGATTTGAGTCAAAAGAAGCATAATCTTTTGTATTTTGGATCTGATGGGTTGAAAGTGCCTGAAATTTGACAGACGGGCAGCTGCAGCTAGTCTTACAGAACAGCTCAATACGGAAACTCCTTGCTGACTGGAAATTTTCCAGATGACTTAAATTCTCCTGCTGGAATAAGCAGAGCAAAAGATCAAGAAGAACAGATGATAGAAATCTGTCTCTCTGCAGTTTTGGTGATACTGGGTACCAACTCACTTTAAATAGTTGAGGCCAATGCTGTAAATGACAAATCACAACCTCTATAGAAAGACAGTCTTACTTTTGTTTTTATATGTGATGTTGTATATGAAGCACTGCTTATAAATATATGCTTTCCAGTTCATCCGTTCACTCAAAGTTCTCTGACTTTAGTACAGCCCATAAGAAAACAAAATTTCTAAGAATGGAAACTATTTATCCAGTATCACAAATGTGTCTTACCTCTAAGCCACTGCAAATTCCTCCTGCTACAGAAACCTTTTCAACCTCTCCTGCAATATTTTGCTTCCCCAGTTACATAGTTCTCAAAGAAAAACAGAGAAAAAGAGGGTATTGTATCCTCCATTTCTCAACAGTTGTGAGTACAGACAGGCCTTCCTCCAGGCCCCCAACTAATGTACTCTCTTCTAAAGTACCCCTCCACTGGGAGGTTTAAGGTGCATCATTACCTGCCTTCTAATTTTTCAGGAAAATGATAATCTAAATGTTTTTCTTCTGTTGGCAAATTCCAGGTGCATAGAGAAGATGTATGTGATGAAAAACTACCCTACCATCTAAATGAATCTTGGTTTGCATAAAAGCCAACATAATGCTAGCTATAGATACCCCAAGTATCCTTATTATAAAGTCTTCACAACTTTCAAAGATCAGCCATAGAGAGACACTCCACTCTGGATTCTCATCAATATTTCTCTGTAAATATTACTGGTATTTGAAAAGTTGAAAATCACTTCGAGAAAAACCACAGTGGTGTATCACCTCATGTCTCATGTGGTCCTAAAGTGAGTCACAGCCCGCAAGGAGTTGGTTCCTGCAACCACTTCCTGGTAAATTAGAAAAGTAGTAAAACTTCCAGGTCTGAAGTTCTCAAGTTATAATGTTACATGTTTGCACATCTTTAGCAAAGTAGAATTGGGAACCGAGAGAACCAAAAAAACATAGGAAAGCAACTTTAAAGATTTCTCATTTGAGTTCACAAATTTACTCCAGATTTTGGTAACTTCCTTTAAAGTAAGAACAAGGTTGGGAGAGAGATGAGTCCCTGAGAGGTGCCAGGAAAGGGATGATTAAATTAGAAGGTCCCACCATAATGGTATTACTGTCTGCTTAGTCCCTGAGGCAAAGTCAACAATGGAATTACAAATTCTTAATCTCTAGGCTTGCCTGGAGTTATCATACTGAGTAAACACAGCAAGGTGGCACCGTTACCTCTATGATGCCTTAAGGTGATAATCTTAGCACATGTTTCCTTCTCCATCTATCTAGGCTACAAACGCAATGAAGGCAGAGCTCATGTCTTTGTATCTTTTACCACATTTTATAAAGTTACAAAAAGGATATGCTCTTTAAATAATAGAAAAGAGCATTTTCCCTTCACATTTCTTCTCTGGTCTCAACTGATGGGTACATACATTTTAAGCATTTGCAAAGGCAATTTCCTTGCTTCCAAATTGCATTCAAATAGTGCCCTCTCTCGCGCTCTCTCTCTCTCTCTCTCTCTCTCTCTCTCTCTCACACACACACACACACACACACACACACACTCTTGCTCTCTCTTGTGCACTCTCTCTCTCACCAATCTGCATATAAACTTCAATCTTTCCATGATTCTGGGGGTAAACCAAATTAGATGAGAACCAAATCAAATTTCTCTATAAGGTCAACACTGAACCTCAGTGTTGAATTTGATTTTGTTCTTGTCCATTTTGGTTTGTGACCAGAATCATGGAAATAATTAAGTTTATTAGCTATGTATATCAAAGTATCATATACATTTATATACACATGTACATATTCTATTTTCTAAAGAATATTTTAAATAGTCTAGTGAAATTATAAAGATGAAATCATATAGATAGGTAAACTGCTAAATCTGTATCTAATATTAGATGTATTAGAGATTAGAAATTGTTGGATACAAAGATTTCATTCATTTGAACTGAAAGAATGGTGAAATGATTATATTGATTTAAATTATTTAAAATTTTGTATCAATTTAAAACTTTTATATTAACTATAATATATAGATTGTGGGTCCAATTAACTCTTTAAAAGAGGTATTCTTCAACTGTAGTATGCAGAAAAGAGTAGTATAATTTATTTTAGATTTTGAAAACAAGTAATAGAAAATGGTATTTAGTCAATGGTATTTTTTTTCTTATCTAAAAGAAAAAGATTCAGTAAACATGCTGCCAGCATTCACAGACAATTCCTTCAATGAGACAGAAGAAACCAAAGTTATTTCATTGAAATCACGGAAAAACAATTCTTGTTTTTCTTTTTTTTTTGGAAAAACAATTCTTACAAACAATGTTAACTTGTAAAATGAAACAGAAAATAAAAAGAAAAGAAATGAAGTAATATACTAAAATATAGGACATGAATCTTGATTCATAGTCTATTTTTCTGATTGTATTTTACTAAAAGAGGCAACAATAAACAAAAACACTATTGATGTGAGGATTTACTGTGCCTTAAAAATCTACCACTATGAAATTAGTGCTCAAAGGTCTTCATGAGGTAAAGTGCTTATGAACTGGCTAGCAACTTGCAAATCACATCCTGCTATCAATATATTACCAGCCCATGTCAGTTTGTATTTTTGTTTTAAAAGGTTTGCTCATAAACGTACTTTCTTTATGTTTCTGCTTTGAGAAATGAGCAGGTTTTATGCACAATATATTCTTCAAAAAGCATTTCAGCTCTGCTTCAATCAAAACCCTCTCAAATAACAGAAACCTGATAGAAATGCTAGTTTTGAACAGCAATCAGCATGTAACCAGAGTTACTACTTTACTAATATAATAATGTAGATAATGTATAATAACGTAGAACAATATGGCACAAAAATTAATAAGGAGGTTAAAATGGCTGTATTATCAGAATGGCTAATCTCTGGCTTACTATCATGTTTCAGCAGTTTTAAGAATAAAAGGAATTACTGTAACATATTTTGACACGTTAGATTTCCTTTTAAAGCAACTGGGAATATGCAGATGGAATACACGAAAAGTATAAGCCTGAATTGACTTTGGGAAACAATGAGCCCCAGCTGAGAAAAGGGTTTGGTTCAAGGAGGATACAATAAATCATTATCCCTGCTTATCCAAATTCACACAAGTGCTTTGGCTAAAGAAAAGTCTACCTTGGATTCTCTCATTCCAATAAAAACACAATATATAGTTTCAATATGTTAATGTCTCACAGGATAGATACTTCAGCCAAAGAATGGTCTCTGACACAAATATAATCAGATTATGCACATGCTGGTCAACCAGGAAAGGAGTATCTTCCTTCTGTCAGACATGGCACAGATATGGCTGTGACATCCAGCGGTAGCCATCTACTCACGTGGCCTTGGTCATCCAGTTCATTGTTGGTGAGTTTCAGCTTGTCGAAGCTGATCACTTGTCTCATCCAAGTCTCCCCAGAGGCAGGCGAGTCTGGATGTATATACACCCGGGGTGGCACAGGGGAGTCGGCATTGCCTGCCACCATCCATTTGGAGCTGTGGTACACATACCTGAAAGGCAAAGACAAGAAAGGCCCTCAGGATCTGGACTATTTGTTTCTTGGTATTTCCGATTCGGCAGAATCAAGACCAAATGTGCACTCCTCTTTTTAAAGCCTAAAAGAAATTTATTTCTGCTTTATACCCAAATTAAGTCTTCAAGCATTTTTCAAAATTTCTCTGAAGCAGTAGGGTCTGCTTGACAACTCAGAGTAAGTAGGATATGAAGGACTTAGTGGAAAATATGCACACTATCACACCCACAAATGCAAATGCTGTTCCTTAATTCTAACCAATCATTTATTCACATCAGACATGCTAACTGTAGTCCGATATTTTTCACCTGAATATTCTATTGACATGAAGTTGCCAAACTTGCCTTGAAGTAAACTCAAAATACTTGAAAGTTATATCTTAAAAAGATCACTTTGTGTTTTAGGAGACTTAGAGGCTGATGAGACAGACACTAGGAAGATGAGAGGAGAATGCCATATTTTGAGATGAAAAACATTTTATCTATTATCATTTAGAATTGCATTTTTCTAGTGCTATAATACTATAAAGTCAGGATAAAGTATGCAGTTTAATATAAAATTTTTGAATAATTATAAAATGTAGGCCTTTATTCATCTCCTATATTTCTCATACCAAATAGCTTTCAAATGCTGCTAATCATGATACAATTACACTTTGAAAAAATAGTATATCTAATTAATATTACTTTCTAATTGCGATAAAATGATTATTTATAAATTTGTGCAAATATATTGATTCAACAAGAACAATATTTTAAATGACAATATCTCAAGTAATAAAATCTCTAAGTATAATCCTATAAGCGGACTATTATTTATTGTTGCTTGTTTTGTTTGGTTTTGGTTTTGGGTTTGTGTGTGGATGTGTGTGTGTGTGTGTGTGTGTTCTGAGACAGAGTCTCAATATGTAGTTGAGACTGACCTGGAACTGACTATGTAGCCCAGGCTGGCCTCGAACTCACAATGTTCCTCCTGCCTCAGCCTCCTGAGTGCTGGGATGTCACTTTAAAATAAATTAATTAAAAACTAGAAACTAGAGAATCAATGAAGAAAAAAGTATAAAATAAAATTATATAGTCTTAGATGTTTTTGCTTCATGTGTATGAGAATTTGTCATATAATGTATAGTAACTTTGCAAATAGTGTCAGAAATTACTACCTGTATAATATACAAATTTCTTTTTTTTAAAAGAGGAGATGGGAGGGTAGGGAAGAGAAGGAGCTGTAAAAAGGATGAAGATGTGTACATATAAGGCCAGCAATTTAGCTCAGTGTCATCGTGCCTGCCTTGCAAGCTCAAGGTCCTGAGTTCAATCCCTGGTACAAAAAAAAAAAAAAAAAAAGCATATGTATATGTACCAATTCCCCAGACTAAATGTATTTATTATATATCAAAAACATACACTAATAAAAACTTTTAAAAAATAAAGTAGCATAAAATATTTTCATAACATTTCTTGTGTGGCTTGAGGGTCACGTGTTTCATTCTCTTTTGAGCTCAAAAATGCTTCTATTCTTTACAGTAATTCCTTTCCTTGGAAAAAAATACATAAGCACAAAATTAAGAGTAATTGTTTAAAAACTTCCTTCAAATGGTATAATGTAGTTTTAGTAAATGAATTACTAACTGCAGACTCTTGTGATTACAAATTTTACATTCTAATAAGTAGTAATCATTTTTAACTTGGCCAAATACCACCCTGATATCAGAAAGTAAGCCAAATGTTTTTAATACTGCTTTAAAGAGTTAGAAAATACAATGAAAATCTTAGAAATTCAAGAAAGAAACTTCACTGTAGCTATGAATTGGGTTGCTACCAGAATAAACAGATATGCTCTGTCAAAATCTTGCAAAATTATGCACATTAACTAGTTCAAACTCCACACATATTAAGCAAATAAGTGCTACATGTTAAACATTCCTTGTAAAACATTCTAAATACCAACACTAAAAACAAATTTCTTTTTGCTAAGCAATGTAAATGAAAGCAAATTTATGTTTAACAGCTTGATATTTTAAAATCTAGCATTTTAGTACTATTATGAGAAGTTTCCTTGCTTTCTGTGAGAGTAACTAAAAATCACTTAAGTTAAATAAAACATCAAAATATATGGAAGAGATATGGAGGAAGAATTAGGCCACAAATAGAAGAAAAAATGATGATTTACTAACTTCATTATTTTCCTCATACAAAACTCAAATTATAATGTGGGTTTTGAATCAAGTATATTTAATGAATGAACTTGTATGTCTTCTAGCTTCTGTTATGCAGTAGGTAATTTTAGAAAAACATCTTCATGAGTTATTTAAAATAAGTAATAACATTTATCCATAAAAATTCCTTTCTATCATTCATTTTGTAGCATTTCAAGTCCTGTTTAAATTAAAATCTGCATACTTTTGACAACATAAAGCTATTTTGCAAAAACTTCCCACAGGTTTAAATGATGAAAAGCAAATTTGATTTCATTTAAAAACTATTAGGTACTCTTTATTTTATAAAGATGAGACAAATCTTTTGATCTTCCAGACATTCAAAACTTTCTTTTTTAAACGGTAGTATTTTTAGTTCTTCAGAAAATAAGAAACATTGTCATTGAAAAATTTTGATTGTTTTCTTCCAGAAAATATGCAGTAAAGTTAGACTTCAAACAAAGAATAATTATCTTTTCAAAAGTTACTTGATAGGTAAATATATTCTGTTTTACATATCCAAATATAATAAAGACTTTAAATGATAATTGCTAACCAACCAAAAATAATCAAGAATTAACAATTCATTGCCAGTTTGGAGAAGTCGTAAAATCTGAAATTTTATTTATTTTACTTGTAGACAACTTTAAATAATTTTCTCAAAGGGAAAAAGTCTACAAATATTTATGATTTTGAATGTAACAAGACAAAGAAAGTTAATGCAAAGATAAAAATATAAAGAAAGCATAACATTTCATTTACCATTATGTGTATCTCCAAACTGCATGTAAAATCTCTGAAAATTCTAATTGAAATGTGACTCTATATGAAAGATAAATTCAGTTTAGCAATACTAAATTGACCCTATTAAGTACTCAATGATCGAAGACATTTTTGTTTCTATTAAAGGCCAAACAGAAATTCTGTTTCCACATTTTACATTGTTTCCACATGGGTCTGGAAATTCTATAGGCTTCTGGAAACACAGATCACAGCAGTCACAAATCATATGGGCTCTCTTGGCAAAATCTTAGTGCTTTCTTAATTCCTGCATCCGATCCCTATACCTGTATCTTTTGTTGTCCACCGGTACAATATCCATGGCAATGTAGTATTGTTGGTGAGGATCTAATCCAGAAATCTTCACTCTCATTGCAGGAAACATGCGTCTATTTATTAAAAAGAGGAGAAAGAGCATTTGGGTTTTTTGTTTCTGATAAGAACTGAAAATGAATAAATTAATCTATTTTTAATATGATTAAATGTATAGCATTAAGTTTGATAAAGTGTTAGAACATAGGACATATCCAAACCAAAGTTTTAAAATGTAATTTATTGTACCACACACACACACACACACACACACACACATATTACATATTTATTGAATTGTCCATATAGCTAAAAGCAAAAAAATTATCTACTGAGGGAGTAATGCCACTAAAGAAAGCACTTTACTTTTTAAACAAAATCAATATGTATATTTACTTTTAATAATATAAATAATAAGGTAGAACAAGTGGTAGAAATGGAAATTTTAAATATCTGAAAGTGATAAAATATAATGTGAAATTTTAAAAGGGTTATAAAAAACCACAAGGAGCCATTGTGCCATGCTATAACCAAACAGTGTGTTCTTTATTGAGACATGACTTCCTATCTGCAGCATGGTAAAGTTGAAGTAGAAAAGTTGCTCTAATTTTGAAAGACAGAGTAAAACATATTTTTGGAATGCAGAAACTAAACACAATGCATATTTACCAAATCATTCTTTTCTCCATCATACTTCAAATGTTTTCTTCCTAAGCCACTTACTCAACTCTTTGCCAATTAAAACAATGAAAATCTCCATTTCTCTTAGCTTGAAGAGCTACAGCAAAGGAGTTGCTAAATTAGATGCACTTTAAAATGTGCACAGCAGCAAGGAACACAACAGCAAGTAATTATATATATAACATAAATATAGACATTTGTTCTTTAAAAAAATCATCTTTGATTTATGTCCAGGACTGTGCCAGTTAATTTTTGCTCATTTAACTTTATAGTGCAATCTTCAGTAATGTTGTTTACCAATTTTTTTCTATTACTATAATGCTATTAAAGAACACTTCCAGAGGACTGAAAGTCCATTATTTCTAACTAAGCATAACAGCAGTTTTAATATGGCACTGTCTGCTTAGTATTATTTCAGTGCACCTGTAAGATAAAGAGTAAAGATCTGTAACTATATCTTTTATAAGATAACTGTTGCTTTGTGTTATTGAAGAACTGAATTTGGATCATTAATAAAAGCCCTGTGAAAATGCAGAAGGTAGCAGCATATGGATTCAATAAAATGTTTTTGTAATTTCTAATAAGTTTGGATACTTTTATACTATCCAGGTTTTTACCATGTGTACTCCCTGAAAGAGTAGTGTGTGTGTGTGTTTTTAGTTTCTCTTAGGATATTATTCAAAGATTTTATTGCACTAAATGAACTGAAAATTTTAAAGTGAAAATGTCTATGCCTACCTAAACTTAATATGAACTACCAACAAATTCATTTATTTTACTATCTGGTTGTGCTAATTTCATACTTTAAAATACAGATTACTTCTTACATTTATTTTTAGCATTCTTCAGCAAATTTAAGCTAATGTGCCAAAATTTCATTTAGGAAAAATATTTAACCATGCAATTTGATTTGCAAACAGGATTTTTAAAATTCAGGACAATTATTTTTACTGCTACATATAATTAAACATATATTATGAACGATTATAATGAGTTTTCACTGTAGTCTAATTTCAAAATAATACAACACATCATGTTCTTACAGTGCCAAGAAATTTTCTGATAGAAGAACCAACCTGGAAAGTTTATTTCTGAATAAATAAACCATAGTTTGCTATGGAATAAACTTTGTAAAAAGAAAACAGGGCGAGGGTAATGTTCTCTAGTTCCAGAACGGATAACTATAAATGCCCCCCCCCGGACATAAATATGACCTCAAATCCAAAACTACTCTTCATTCAGAACATCAACCTTGACAACTGTAGCATAGATGACCACAGCGATTTCTCCCAGTATGAACAAGGTGCGGCTGGCTGTGTCACCTAGTGCACCATGGCACACAGAGGCAAAGCCAGCCTGGAACTGAGACCCGACCCACGCTGTGTCAGGTCTGTCAGAAAATGCTCCCCACGCTGCAGAGCCGTCTCCCAAACCGCCCAGAGTCGGGTGAGGCCTGAGCCGGCCCAGGGGGGTTCCGCGCCAGCTTGCCCCTTACCTGCCCGCCTTGGTGATGATCATCTCGGTGCCGATTTCATGAAAGCGCTTCCAGAGCTCGGCTCCTTGCAGATCCACCCTCGGCGCCTGAGGCGAGGGCAGCGGGGTCGCGGGACCCCTTCGGGGATCCTCCGGGAGACTCCAAAGAGGAAGCATCCTGCAGGAAGCCATCCTCACAACTGCCTGGACAGCAGAAGGCACAGAGGGGACATGGTGAGGGCTCCCGAGGGGAGGCCGGCGGCAAGGAAGAGAGGACTGACAACAACGGAGGCACTCCGGTGTCTTCGGGTCCTTGCGACAAACCGGAGCTCCAGGGTCTGCCGGGCCCCCAAGTCCCGCGTCCAGGGATCGCTCGCAGGCCGCGTCCCTCCACCCGCTGGGCTTCTGAGGGGTCCAGGCCCCACATAGCTTCTCGCTGCGGAGGGGCCCTGTAGTTTAAGTGGGACGGACTCGGAGCCCAGTTCCTGAGTGCCAAGTCCCGAGTTTAGACCGCGTTACTACCCGCGCCCCAAGCACAGGCAGCCACGGCGCCCCGGGCCCCGGGCCCCTACAGGACTCCGGGGAGCCTCGCTTCGAGCGGGCCCGAAGCATCTTCTGGACACCTTTGCAGACCCCGCGGCGCCACGCTTCAAGCCTAGCAGCGAGGCAGCTAGGCGAGCGCTAAAAAGCCAGTCCGATAGCGCCAATCGCCTTGGCCTGGGGAGTCGGAGGGGAAGGGACGGGAACCTCTCCGCTAACCCCCGGGAAACCACGTTTGCAAGTACACCGCCCTCTTCCTGGTTTGCACAGACGGTTCAGGGCATTCGTTCCGGTTTGGGGGGTGTGTGTGCCTGCATTCTACCACCACCCCAACATACACACCGCTTTAGGCTTTGAAAAGTTGAGAAAGAAAAAGGAGCTTCCCATTGGCTGGAACCCCGAGGGAGGCAGAAGCGAAAAGCGCGGATCCGAGCCTTTCGGTCCCGTTCACGGCCCAAGGGCGCTGAGTGGGTGGCA